GTACGGAGGGGTTATATCTTGGTTATGCCCCATGAAACCTCCCTGTAACTTACTTGTACGGTTGTACCTATGAAACTATAGAATCACGAAACTTATTTGTAGGTTACAGGAGGATTATAGAGGGGTATAACGCGAATATAACCTCCCTATACCCTCTGAGTAACCTCCGGACGTACGCAGCTTTGTGTACGTCTTACATACGCAAATATTTTCCCTGTAAAAAAGGTCGGTTGCTCTTAATTCTAGAAAAGCATTTTTCTATCGATAAAGTAGGAGAAAAATTAATGGGATCAATTTCTTGAATTTCTTATCTTTTTTTTTTCATTGATGGTTGAAATTTGGGGCTTATTTTATCTTGATTTACATGTATATCAACCAATCCTCATCTATGTATGTATATATCACATAAATTTTATATTTTATATTTATTCCAATTAAATGTTTTATATCACACAAAAAAAATATCATAATTTTAATTTTTAAAAGATGAAATATATCTTTTTCATGGACAAAAAAAGATGTTAGATATATAAATACATAAAAATAAGAGGTATGTATGCAATTTCTTTTTTTTTATTTTGAACCAGGATGGCAAGAAATTTTCCATTTTTGAACAAAACAAGCAAAGCTAGCTATCAATCATACTTTAACCAACACATTTTTTTTAATGAATTTAATTATAAAAATACACACACCACATGTACCACATGTACAAGACTTTAAACACTATGGCTTCTCAGTTAACAACACAGGGTATGTCAGGGGTAGCCGCATCTATTTGATAAAATAGCTGTGAAGCTTTTATATAAACATATATATAAACATATATATATATACTGGTCGTATATATATATATGATAATTAGTGTAGAAATCAAATGTTAAAGGTTAAAATGTAGTTCTATGACAAATAAGAGCATATATATTCTTTACCAATAAAGAACATTGACTAATCTAAAGTTAAGTTTCTGATTGTATGGTTGTGTTGAGCAGATTCTAGCCTCTCACTTTTAAAATACTCAGTGCCCTCTCTATAGAACCAACCAGGGACTTAGGTTCTGAACTAAGACCAAATTGATAAAGGTTCTAGCCTCTCACTCTATAATCATGAATTTTATGCACATCAACATATATGTCCCTATCTATTTGCACTCCTCTTGGACGTGACTTCCCCTTCATCCAAGATTGTGGTACTCTCTAGTTGGGAAAATCATAGCCCTCACGGATCATTATGTTTCGCAATGAATTTTAATATTACAAGTGATCAGTTTACAAAGTAAATTAAGAACTAGCGGAAATATTATCACGATTTTATAATAAAGGAAATCTTCAAATCATACTAATCCCACACATGATTAAATATCATTACAAGGACGATGAGTAAAAAAAACTACTCACTAATCATGGAAAAAAGACAACAGAAAATTTTATTTAAATCAAAGCAAATTCACTAGAGAAGTGTTTACAACAATTATAAAATAATGAAGGACACAATACTTACCCTTTTCCTCTGAAAAAAAGATGAAAATCCTTCCAACAAAGTCTCCTACTGATCCACGCAAAGTTCCTATAATTCCTTTCAAATATCTTTCAAAATCCCTCACCAATCTTTCTAGAAAAGGTGGAAATTTGTATCTTCTACTCTTATCTACGACCTCTGGACATTCTTAGAAGTTCCAAGAGTTTGAAAAGCCAAAAAGTGCCTTCTCAAGTGCCAAAAGGTGCTTAAAAATTATTTGTGGCGTCTAGAACCCGTCCATAACTGTTTCCGGTGCCTAGGCTATATTTCTGGCACCTAAGCGCCACCTTGGTGGCAACACGACCGTTTTGCGCCTTTTCGCCACATTTCAGCTCCAAATTGCTCCATGTATTATACCTATAAGATAAACTTGAAAAAAATCTTTCTTTAAATTGTAATTTTATTCGAAAATATGTGAAAAATGTAAAGAATATTGAACATAGAAAGACATCAAAATGCGTTAGGTCAGAATTTTCTTCCTTGCTCAATTTGACTCCAAATTGCACAATTTTTGCTTCATTTTCACCAAAATGGAACAAAAAATATGCAAAATATATTTCTTTAAAGTGTAATATCATTAAAAAAAATATAAAATAAATATTAACAAGTTGGTAATTTTTAGGTGTGTCAATCCGCTCCTTGACTTCCCAGTTAACTCTAGTGGCGACCATATCACAAAGGTTTGATCACGAAGGTGATGGTTTTGAGTGAAATTGGAAGGGTGCAAGGGTGAAGGCTTCAGTGAGGGCGAGGTTTTCGATAGAGAGGGGGAGGGGAGGCAACGAGAGTTTCAGGCAAAAAAAAGTGACGTGCGAAGAAGAAAATATTGTTAGATTTGCGAGATTGGTATATTAGGTCATTTGCATTGGATTACAATAATTTAAAAACATGCTTACATAAATATAACATCAGCACAAGGTATGAGAAGAAAAAATAAAATTTATTCTAAATTTTGACATTACAAATTACCTTCAGAAATTTGTTCGAGAGAGTATTTTACAAGATGATCGTCTGACGCTTCAGATAGGACAAGTTCCTTCTGAAGCGACCTCCTATACAAAAATTCTCCCCCAAACTTAAACCGGTTCACCAAATTCCACTTGGCTTGAGCTCGTTGTATAAGGGAATTATCGTGGACTTCCGACGGTTCCATACAAAGGGTGACCATCTCCTCCTTTATACACTCTAATTTTTCCACACAAGTCAGCAGCTCGCATGTCTCCTCCTCTCATTGAATCCCAACAGATAGAGTGAAGGAATTCTAAATCTCATCCAGACGAGCTAGTGATCTGAGGGATATCTGACATTCATTAGTTTCTTACTCGCGATCCATGCAAGGACTGCAGGGCGGTCAATCCCTTCTTCCTTGCGCAGCAGTCGACTGCTCTCTGCCAGCAGCTAGGCAGCCACCACTGGCATTGTGGTTAGATTCTCACCAATGTTTACCTACGATGAGTCATCATCCAAGTCTAGTGGCCCATTTGCCCAGTTGCATTAAAGGATGATGTGAAGGTAAGGAAACCCAAAAAAAGAATCGAAACCTAATAATTAAGATCGCTACTTCTCATACCAAGAAGTCAATCCCACTTAGGCATGGTAACTGACTCTTGCATCTCGGGTGGAGGCAAAGCACCAATATCTTTTTGCACAGTCTATTTAGTCGGCATGTCTCGAGTTGAAATAGAAGATTGAAATGAAGGATCGATGCTTGAGCTGCCCTGTCTGCCTTTGCTATCCCCTCGATTTTTTCTCCGCTGAAAACCAATGAATGATCAGATGACCCAATTTGATCCATTAGTCTGTCTGTTTTCCTCGTATTGACTTTCTTCTTCTTCTTTTCAACTTTCTGGCGATGTCGACCCTTAGTTTCTTGAAGGTGACAAGAAACAGTTCCCTGCTAGGGGGATCAATGATATGTATCAAGTGTTGCTAAGGACAGGTGGCTCTCGCAAGTATATGTGACGTATGAGTAGTATATAGAATGAAATTCTGTGTGTTGAACCTACAGGGAATGAGATGAACTCTAGCAAAAAAAGTTCTAACCTATAATTGTTTGTCCTAGCCAGAAATGTTTGTTTTATGTAAATCCTATAAAAACAATCCTAGGTTAACAAAAGAGAAGTTGAAGGGTTCAAGTACTTAAACCTTCACCCCTGAAATGGTACAAATAATATTTTTGAATGTGAAAATATCTAGCGTAAAATCATGGTGACAAACGGGAGCAATACTCCTCTTTTCCTCCTTCTGGTAGTATATAGAAGTTTGGCTAGACAATGGGTTTATTTCTATAAAGCCTACTACTTAACCCAATCACATTCTCGTCATAGCATCACCCTAGAGAACATATTCGTATTCTCATAGGCTAATGTGGTTAACTTAGTTGATTCTATTATTATCTCTTTCAAGATTTGTAATTCTCAACATTTTAACAAATCTTATGGCAAAAATGAAATGTAAAGGAAGATTGGAATGTTAATCATCACCGGAAACAATTTCTTTCAAAGCCAAATAGAAACTTTCACACCCATCAATCTTACTTCCCCACTCCAAGGTAGAAAAAGAGCATTACTCACTTCTCATGCTTGAACACAAAAACAAACTTATTTTATTGAAAGATAAATCAAATATAGAAGTTTTGGAAGTAATATATTACAATCAACAAAGTAAACTTCAGAGAAGAACTTCTCTTTTTTTTCACAATTGAGAACAGACGTAGCAATTATCTGTCAAATTCTCTCACAACTAATTTCTTCTTCTGTTGTTGATCTACTTTTGCCTTCTCCCTCGAATGCCTTCCCTTTTGAGTGGTATAAAAGTCAGAAAAAGCCCTTAGAAATTTTTCATCAAGCTTTTTATACTTCTTCCTCTCAACTCCAGTCATGAACTGTTCCAAACTGTCAAATTCAAATTCGGGCATCTAGGCGCCCTATGCCACTCACTTAAATATTTTGATTGAAGAGCTGGTTTCATGACGCCACTATCATGGTGCCTAGGCGTCGATGGTGCCACACCCTATTTATAAGAGTCATGGCAAAAAAATTCCAAAAAAAATCAATTATTTAATCCTTAATTAAAGAATAAATGTTATCCACATTTTACATTAAATTCTCTTATAATTTTAGGTATATATAAATTTAATATCTAAATTTTAATATTTATTTAACGATAATTATTTTTTAATATCATATAAGAATATCACTAATATTAATATTTTGAAATTAAAAAAATATTAAATTTTTGCTGTCAAATATATAAACATATAAATATATAAGAATTCTTCAATACCTATCCAATTTTTTTTCTCTACTTGGACGCCCAAATTAACAATTCTTTATTACATGATGCTGGAAAGATATGACAAACATTGATTAATAAACACACACACACACACACACACACACACACACACACACACAGACGCATGTTCTCTACGTGTGACAGGC